CCAATGGGATAAGCGAAATATTATTGTTTGAGCTTTGAAGTAAATTTATTTTACTTGCTATTTTACTGCATTTATTATTTTAGATTATTTTAAGGAAATGACTTAATTCTGACACATTATTTCTGAAAACAAAACAATATTTCTTGTCTAGAAAATAATTTTTAGAATTTTGGTCTAGAAACAAGATAAAAAGAAAATATTTTTTTTGCAGTGTGAATTTTTGACTGTACAAAAGCTGGTCTGAATGATAAAGCGTGATCATTTTACCAGCACAGAAGGGACGGTGTGTGTATGGTACATCCACAAATGGTCATGCAGTTTATGAGCAAAGAGTACAATAGTCTGTTGGGCTTATTTCTTTGCATAATGACATGAATTCAGTTTACAATCAAACGTGCACCGTGAGTGCAGTGTGGATGCACAAAAAAGTCTGTTCTTTACTATTGAACAACATGTACTACCAGACATAACCAGGGTGCAGTGCAGTATGAGGGAACGCAACATCCAGTGTCTCTTTTTTGATGTGTTATGGGTAAAACTGCTTTAAGTTGCGCTCAAGATGAGCTTCATACAGTTGTTCAGACTGGACAAAGACTGGTTTGATTACACAGTTAGGACACAGTAGATACCCTTATCAAAATAATGCCAGATTTACATGTATTGCCCCTCCCACCTCTAAACTAAAACCCACCCACAGTTCAAAAATCACAGCCCCTCCTACAAAAAAAAAAAAAAAAGAAAAGAAAAAACTGTACAGCTAAACTGAATTTATCTTCTCTTGCCTCCATCTTCTCTCTCGTCCTCCATCAGAACACTCTTAATTCCAACATGTCCTCCTCCACATCTCTGGAGATTTTGTTTTTGTTTGTCTCTCTCCTTTGTTTCTCTTCTTTGTTTTAACACTGTGAAAGAGGAAAGCTTACTAGTTAATACATGCTTAAAATTAGATATACAGATGAGAAGATTTTTTCAACACATTCCTAAACATAATAGTTTTAATAACTCATTTCTAATAACTGATTTATTTTATCTTTGCCATGATGACAGTAAATAATATTTCACTAGATGTTTTTCAAGACACTTCTATTTAATTAAAAGTGACATTTAGAGGCTTAACTAGGTTAATTAGGTTAACTAGGCAGGTTAGGGTAATTAGGCATATTATTGTATAACAATGGTTTGTTCTCAAGAATATTGAAAAAAATATAGCTTAAAGTGGCTAATTTTGACCTTAAATGGTTTAAAAAAATTATAAATCGCTTTTATTCTTGCCAAAATAAAACAAATAAGACTTTAACTGTGTATATGTGTGTGTGTGTGTGTGAATGTATATATATATATATATATATATATATATATATATATATATATATATATATATATACACACACACACACACACACACACACACACACACACACACACACACACACACACACACATATATATATATATATATATATATATATATATATATATATATATATATATATATATATATATATATATATATATATATATATATATATATATATATATATATATATATATATATATATATATATATATATATATATATATATATATATATATATATATATATATATATATATATATATATATATATATATATATATATATATATATATATATATATATATATATATATATATATATATATATATATATATATATATTTATATATTTATATATATTTATATATATATATATTACAAACTGAGGCAAGTCTTCATTCATTCATTTTCTTTTCAGCTCAGCCCCTTTATTAATTTGGGGTAGCCACAGCTGAATGAACCGCTTATTTATTCAGCATATGTTTCGCACAGTGGATGCCCTTAAAGTAGCAACCCATCCCTGGAAAACATCCATACACACTCAGTCACACACATACAGTACACTACGGACAATTTAGCTTTCCCAGTTCATCTATATAATGTCTTTGGCCTGTGGGGGAAACTGGAGCACTCAGAGGAAACACACAAACACGCAAACTCCACACAGAAATGCCAACTGACCCAGCTGAAACTTGAACCAGCGACCTTCTGGCTGTGAGGTGACCGTGCTACCCACTGCGCCAACGTGATGGCCTGACGCAAGTCTTATTAACTTAGAAAATAAAGCATTGTAATAATTTTTTTTTTGTATCATTTAAAAATAATGATTCACTCAAAAACATTTTATCAATTTTGCCATTTAACACTTTCTTAGTTCAATGTAATAGAATTTGAGGACCTCAAGAGGATTAATAGCAATTGATTTAAAAACAAATCTACTTAAAATTTAGAACATTCATATATATATATATATATATATATATATATATATATATATATATATATATATATATATATATATATATATATATATATATATATACAGTATGCACAGTTGAAGTCAAAATGACTAGCCGAATGAAAAGTTCTGTACCCAACACATGTTTACCTGTTATTGGATACAAGTATTGGTTGCGAGGAAAAAAAATGACTAGCACTGGGGGTTTATGAGTTAGTGAAGTAAAACATGTTCCCGAATAATTAGTGTATCATTTTGCTGTGGTGACCCCTGATAAAACAGGGACTAAACTGAAGAAAGTGAGCGGGTGAGTGAAATTCTCTGGTAAGATGATGTAACGCTAGTACAGCGGGACGTCCGTGACTTCTTTTCTCACTTTTTTTACAGCTTTTATTCTCGTGCACTGATCCGTATGCTAAATTGTACAGTTAATTAAAGTGGTCTGTGGTATGGCCCCAACCCCAGTTCAACATGCTGAAGTGGATGAACAGCCAACTGCATGAGCCCGACTAGACTCTCACCAACGGCCCAACTTTGACAGATGGCCGACAATAATTGTCCATTCAGTTTTATGTGAATTCATAATATGCTGAAAATGCTAATCATAATATTTCAGTCTCAGTGGTTTGTTGATTTTAGGAAATGTAATTATTTTAGGAATAAATTATTTTAGGTTTGTTGATTTTAGGAAATGTAATTATTCATAATGATTGAATGATATATCATGTGCATTATTAATTGTTTATCATTATACATTCCAATATGTTTGATCAATATTTGATCAATTTTGTGCTTGCCACATATCAAAGAGCTTAGCTTACACTTGTGATTTTTGTATCCATCCAAGTGCTTGGCTGAACTTGTACAGCTCTTAAATCATAAATCAGAAAAAAAACATATTGGGCCCCAAGAAGAAGAAGGTCATATGATTACTACTTAAAAAAACAAGTTCTCCAAACATGCATCTAAGACAATAGTCTCAAACTCGATTCCTGCAGGGCTAGGAATAGACTACTGGAGAATATTAAAAAGTTGTCAGTTTGATGTTGGAGCAAAAATCTGCCGAGCTGTGGTCTTCGAGGAATTGAGTTTGAGACCATTGTCTTAGATGCATTCATGGAGAACTTGGTGTGCTTTTTAGCTGTAGTCATCACATAACCTTCATCATCTTGGCACCCAATATGTATCTTAAGATTAATTTACAATGTGTAATATTCTCAGAAAAGCCAAATAATTGCTTATAACAAACTGGTACTTCCAATTTTTGGCAGAGCTCATATGTCTATATTTTCTTTGTGGTTAGGGCATTAGTAAGATTGTCTACCTTTCTCAGAAATATAGCATCTTGTGCCAGAAGTGTTCTAATGTATATCTACATATATATCAGCAACTTTATTTAGGCTATTTGCAAGGTCACAGTGTGCTATACTTTAACACATGCTTCTTAACAAAGAGACTCTTGACACCATAATGTTTAAAAGGAAACAATTATGTTTCCTGCCCCAGTTCACAGTCTGCAAACTGTTGGATTCACACTTCTGTTCTTAACTTCTGCATTTGAGGTTAATTCTCTTTAGTACTTTAATTCTAGTTGAATTAGTTTAAAACTAGTTCAATCTGACTCTTTGATAAGTATAATAACTTTTGACTTTAATGTAGTTAATTATACTCTCTAATGGTTTTTTGGGTTTACATTAGTATCCTAATTTGATCTTTCGTCTTATTGATTGGAATGCTGTTGACCAAATTGATTGTATTTGTGATACCACTGCTTGTTATGAAATATTAATGTTACAGTTTTAAATTATTGTCCTCCTTATTGATTATTATAATATTGAAAATTTGCATTTTATTCCAACCCAATCCATCCAACAAGCATTCAATTTTATACATATCTTAATCTTTAAAAATAAATAAATAAATAACAACACATCATGTTACTTTCCTTAAAGGAACTAAGTAACACATTTATTTACTTTTTAAGTTACTTAAGATTGCAATATATTACTTTACTTTACTTAACTTTACCCAACATTTATCACATGAATCTAATTATTTCAAAACTGAGAAATTTGCCAAAAAAAGTGTATAGTTTCAGTCACTTAAGAACACTTTGTTGTTTAACATCTCTGTCATAAAAGAGTTGTCAATTATTGTATTTGTGTACTCTTTCACAGAAGTGCAGCACTGAAATTTATACTTGGGTTTCTGTGAGAAATAAAGCTCACTGTATTTTTAACTTTGATGAAAAGAACATTTGCAGTTTTTAATTTACTCCAACTAAATAAAATGTAAGCAAGTCCTACGCAGACAATCTACTTATGTTCCAGTGACATTATGATAGGTAGTTCCATGATATGATAAGTAGTTCCATGATATGATAGGACTATGATAGTTCCAATGTTACTTAGTGAATTAGTAAAATTCTGAAGTAGTCTATCAAATACAATGTTTATGAAGCTTAGCTTTGAGGCAATAAAAATAAAACTGTGGCTTAGTGTTTAATGAATGGTTGCAGCATCTTCAGGTCTTCTTAACATAATAAACCACAAAATAAATCCGCATTGGATTGCTAATCAATGTTCAAAAGATTATTGAGATCATACCCTAAATTATTATTGGGTAGGCTCTGTGTAGAACCACTTTTGATACTTCTGCATACAAAAAGCTTATTTTGTAGCACCCCATTCCAAGCAAACTTTATGCATCAACAGACAAAGATTTACCCTCAAAACATAACCATTCTCTTAACATTTTTTTTTTCTCTCTCTCTCTGTGCAGATCAAGCAAAACCCACACCTGCCAATTCTGACAGAGGTAGACACTTGTCCCAGCTCTCTCTGCTCCTTCTCTCCTTCTCAGGACTCTTTCTTGTACACACTCTGTGATCTTGCTCTCCAGCCCTTTACACTGTATATTATGTACTGTTACCAATCACTGTGTATATTGTATATTGTATTACGTATGTGCTCTTTGTATGATTGTCCGTCCTCTATTTTGTTGATGCTGCACCTTTAACTTTTCCTTCACTGGGGTCAATAAAGGATTCTGTTCTATTTTACTATCCTCTTTTTCCTTCCTCTTTGTGTCTGTCTCTTAATACCGTTGTCTTTTCCGTCCATCCTTGAGTGCGTTGTCAAGTGTGTCACTTCTCTGGTCACTCTAGTGTGTGTGTGTGTGTTTGTGTGTGTGTGTTTGTGTGTGCAGGTTTATGTGATTTACAAGGACACAGAATTGTATAATGACATGGGTATGACCTAGTCGTACTCTATTATGGTGATTTACGAGGACACGCTTTGTCTTCTTGTAATGCAAAATGCTTAAAAATCTTAACAGGGCCTTTTGACCTTCAGATTTTGCTACTGGTTTCATATAAGGGTTAGGTTTATGGGTAGGAGTAAAGTAAGGCCATGTAAAAAGCGTTTTTTGCATAGTAAAAAATGCTGTGTTTCCACAATTCCTTCATGTTGTCCCAACCCAAATCGATTAAGTAATTGATTTAACAAATTTGAGTGGATAAAAATAAATAAGTGGTCCCAAAAAAATCTCAAGAATAGTTTCAGTTCATTTAAAATAAGTAGTTTGAACGAGCTGCAAAAATATTTTTTGGAATACACAGTATACAGCAAATTCAGAAGAATTAAAGAAGTTATATCTAATACCTCTTTAGACCTTTTTTAAGACTCTTTCCAAAGTCTTTTACAAAGACCTCATCGCCACAAGTTTAAAACTAACTTAAGGTGCTTTCACACCTTTGGAGTGATTATTTTGTTCCAAAAAAGAGATGAAAATTGTTACAATGTTGCACTTTGTTCTTGGTCTGGTTCGCTTTCACATGACAAAGTTTTTAAATGGACCAAAATAGCTAAAACATGTCAGGTGCGAATAAACTCACCTCACATTGATCAGAGTTTCATGATTTATTTTTAAGAGACCTCCTGGGTTGTCATGTGTCCTTATTTTATTTTACATTATAAAGAAAAATAACAGATAATCCAAGACCAAGGTCAATTTTAACGGATAAACAGCTCTCATTAATAGTTAACATGCTTTCAGTTTTGTATTTGACATGAGATGCACATTCACTGGTAGGAATGACATTCCGCCCTACTCATAATTCTGTCTTCATATAGCCATATATGCCTATTACACTGTGATAAAACCAGGTTTGGATCGTATTGCTTTCTCACTACAATCAATCCGCTCCAGAGTTTGTATCGTCGAGTCGAGACCGCCTCATTTGGTGCAGAGTTCCACACAATTTATTCCTGATGTCCCAACACAATTAAGTAAACTTCAAAAATTTAAGTGGATTGAACATAAAACAATTAAGTTGTCTCAAATTGTGTTATTTCAATTACCTTTAAATAAGTAGTTTGAACAAGCTACAAACATATACTGAAAAAAAGATTTTTGCTGCTTGTTCAAACTAAATATTTAAAAAGAGTTGAAACAACACAATTCTTAAGATCTTTTGAGACTACTTAAATATTTTAATCAGTTAGATAAATAAAAAAGACAAATTTGCAATCATTTTAAGTGCTGAAACATACCACATGCTGTACATTACTTGATTCTTTAGTTTACCCCAAACAAAGAACAAAAAATAATACCACTGAAAAAAATTATCCAGAGATGACTCGTTGGATTTACTCAATTTTTTTTACGTAAGGCGGTTGTAAACTATTTTTTTGTGTTGAATTTAAACAAACAAATTAAGTTGAACTTTATTAAACTTAATTTGTTTGTTTAAATTCAACACAAATAAATTGTTTGCAGCAGTTCTGCAGGCAACACTTTTTTCAGTAATGCAGTAATTGTGCATAGAGTTAACAACAAATCGAGTGGGATTGCATAAGTAAACTAGAATCCAACTATTTGCCCAGACAATGATTCAATGATTCATTCTCCCTTAAAATCCAAAAAAAAAAAAAAAAAGTATACGATAAAAAATATTATAAAAAAATGTAATAACTTGGAATACCTTTAGGATTTTTAAATACATTTTAAGGGCCTTCATTTTCCCTAAGTTGAATGATTAAATTATTTATGACTCAGCTATCATCTTTTCACACTTTTTAGCATGTTACAGACACTCTGGTGTAAAATTCATTATGCATATAAAAAGTCCTCGTAAACCATATATATACAAGTTTGTTTGTGTGTATGCGTGCAAGTGTGTGTGTTCGTCTTCATCTTGGTGGTGTGCCTTGTTGCGTGTTAATGATTATTTTCATGTGTGCTGTTCAATGGGACTCAACTTTCTCTTTCCTATAATGCTGCTTGAAGGAAATCCTGACTTTAAAACAGGTCTGTATAACCCCTGCTGCTTCTCTGTCTTTGCATGATGTGTAAAACACTGTCTGTTGCTTTCAGATCTTTTTTTTTTAAATCCTGACATTATCTATCACTGATTCCTTTATGGTTCTCCCGTTAGCACTCAGCAAAAGAACAATTCCTTATTGTTCTTGTTTACTTCCTCCCCACCCTTTTCAACACACCCGTTCCCCTTCCGTGTGCCACTTTCTCTTCCTGTCCGGCCAAAACTCTTCTGCACGCTCACCATTAACCAGTACCCTCTCTTGTTGTTGGTTCTCCTCAGTGGAAGGAAAGCAGGGCGGTTCGAGTTCTGTGGTGATCGCTGTGGTGGTGTGTGTCCTGCTGCTGCTCATCCTGGTGGCTTCGCTCTTCTTCCTTAATAAGAAGGGCAAACTAGGCTGCGGGAAGAAGGACCAGAAGGAAGTGTGAGTGGCACATACTGGGATCATTGACTTAGCAGGACATAAAGCTGTATAGGTGTTTGTAACTCTTCTTTGTGTGTCATTTCTTTGTTCCAGGGCTTCTGGAGGAGTGAAAGATAATATTGTGGTGGAGATTAAGCCCAGTGAGAAAAGCAAGGAAGAGGCTGGTCTGCTAAAGCCTGCAGAACAGGTGAGCGGTCAAAGGAAAAAAGAAAAAAAAAAGAAAAAAAAAGAAAAAAAATATATATGTATATATATATATATATATATATATATATATATATATATATATATATATATATATTAGGGATGTATCAGAATTTCACGGTACGGTAATACCTCGGTATGAATGGCACGGTACGGTATTTATTGAATCATTAACAGGAAAAACAAAACTAATGAAAATACCCCAAAAAAGTGCCAAAAGTGTTTATTTACCTTAGCACTGAACATATCAATGACAAACAAATTAGCCATCTATCTGTAAGCTTTGAAACAGGAAGTTCAATTTTTCAATTTTAATAACAAAAAATTATTAAACCATGTAAAAAAATAAAGTTTCAATTTAGTATTGTTGAAAACTCATCACATTCAACAAATAATCACTCACTCATTCACTTGAAAAGAGAGGGTTTTAAGGAAAATTATATAACTATAATCTGGTAAAAGTGGGTATCTCTGGGCATTTACAATGTCCCCTGCAACAGAAAAAAAAACCCTCTCATTTGGGACTGAGGTTTCTGGGACAGATATGACTTGGCCCAGGTTGACAGCAGTGGGTAACGTTGTGCATTGTCTTTCCCCCACTTGAGAGGACAAGCCATGAGTGAGATAGAGGTCTCTTTGCGGTACAAGTCAATGTCTGCATCAATCTGAACAGTGTGCTGTATTCTGCAGTCCCCATGACTGTTATTAGTCGTATTCCCCAACTTGCAGGCAAGTACACACATAGGGCTCAACCTGTGCAGTGCACATGCCCTTTTTAGTCTTGGATAGAAAGTGCCCTTTCAAAATGATCAAAAGTGCCCCTGCGACGCAACACAACCTCCGTCCCGCCCGACGCGACAACACCGCTATTCAGTACGCGCGCGGCGTCAACAACAACACCCCCAACCGAAATGCCTCCACACATCCGATTTAAAACACGATTCATTTCCAGCTCTTTTTCATCCCCGCTACAAGCAGCACACTCCATTTCCGCATTACTGGATCTGTAGCGACAACAGACAGCAAAGGATGATGGCCACGCCTGGGCTAATGGGAATTGTAGTTTCCGCTACCTCCCGTTCACTTCATTCGCCTG